GGCTGTATGAGGTTGTAGAGACACCATCAGATATATATGTTGTGATGGAGTATGTGAAATCTGGTGAGCTATTTGATTACATTGTGGAGAAGGGCAGGCTACAAGAGGATGAAGCACGTAAATTCTTCCAGCAGGTGGAGTTATGACCTCCTTTCTGAGTTTTCTCATGCTGTTTACCTATTAATTATTAATGGTACTCTTATTCTTCAAACACAGATAATCTCTGGTGTGGAGTACTGCCACAGGAACATGGTGGTTCATAGAGATCTTAAGCCTGAGAACCTCCTTTTGGATTCCAAATGGAATGTGAAGATTGCAGATTTTGGGTTGAGTAATATCATGCGTGATGGTCACTTTCTCAAGACAAGTTGTGGTAGCCCAAATTATGCTGCGCCGGAGGTACTGTTGCATATAAAATGAGTTGATAATAATATTATTTAGGTCCTTCCCAGTATCATGGTACACTGCTTAAAAGTTTGCTTCATTACGATCTTCATTTGTCCATGTAGGTGATATCAGGTAAGTTATATGCTGGACCTGAGGTAGATGTATGGAGCTGTGGTGTTATTCTATATGCTCTTCTCTGTGGCACCCTTCCATTTGATGATGAAAACATTCCCAACCTCTTTAAGAAAATAAAGGTATGCAATTTGTTTGGAATCCACTATTATTAGGTTTTGATCTTCATACAGTTGTTTTGTGAAATGGCTGATGCTTGACCCTTGGTGTGACCACATAGCATCCTAGGTTCCAATCTTGGAAACAAAGCTAATTTTCCACATATCTAATGCCTATGCCCTATAGACATTTGTATTGGACAGAATTATTTTTGGTGGGACTGAAGTGAATGCAAAATTTGGCCTCATATCCTACGTTAGGTATTATATACGTTATTAGTCAGATACTTTTGTGTAGCAAAACTTTTCATAGGTCTGGCAGAACATACTAATATTCTATCCCAACTTCAGTTTATGGTCCATTATTTTATTTATAAACTTTGTCCTTCCAAATTAAAAACAAGAAAGGCAATTGTCCAAGTGTACATAGTTCATGTGTTGAAGCTTCTCCCTCAACTAATTGCTATTCTTGTTTATCTGTGTATTATATGTCTTTAGGGCGGTATGTATACTCTGCCCAGCCATTTATCAGCTGGTGCAAGGGATCTGATCCCAAGGATGCTTATAGTTGACCCTATGAAGCGAATGACTATTCCTGAGATTCGTATGCACCCTTGGTTCCAAGCTCATCTACCACGCTATTTAGCTGTACCTCCACCAGATACGATGCAACAAGCGAAAAAGGTTTGTTGGGACCAACATCAAATGTATATAATGGTTTTAGTCTTTCAAGTTTTTGCTTTCTGCATTTCTTACAGTTCTGTTTTGTGCTTATCATATGAAGAGCTTGCATCTTGACAGAGCCATCATATGGTGGGAATGTTGGAATGCATTATAGGATGCTTGGATAGCTAAACGATCAACTTAAGCAGCCTCTATTTCCCTATTTGCTTATGCATCTTTGTTGCCTTTAAGGATGTTAGACTATCTCCTTATTCTATCTACCCTGCCCTTCTTCCCAGAGAAAAAGAGTGAAGGAATGGTTAAAGAGAAAGGAAAGGTAATGCTCATTTAGTCTTGCATCTGAGTTTGAATAAGTTAACAATTGTTTTAGAAAACTGAACCTTGGGGAAGTTGAGAGTTGCTTTGCAACGTTCTTGTTATAAGAGCACATTGGTCTGCTTTCAATATATAATAGCTAAAAAGAAAGAAGGGGGGGGGGGGGGGGAATCAGACTTTGTTAGGACAAATGTCAAATTTGTCTTGCTGAACCGGATTCCCTTTAAATGCTTGAATATGATATCCTTATTTATCAATTCAAGCATCGCTTATCTTTTGATACAAGAACAGAGTTCTTACCTGCTGTTTCAGTGATCTGGTATTACAAATCTTCACTCACCATCTGGCTGTTATATGATATCTAGGGTCTTCTTAGCATTTCCATTCACGATTTTCCTCAATTTACAGCTTTAAATACTGTTATGAATCAGATAATCTTCCCTGGTAAATTAAAATATTTAATTGCAGATTGATGAAGATATTCTTCAAGAGGTGGTCAAAAGGGGATTTGACAGGAACAGCCTTGTCGCCTCTCTCTGCAATAGAGTTCAGAATGAGGTAGTGTTACTGATCCAACCATCTTCTTTCTCTCTTTTTTTGTTAAAATAATCTGAACAGCCAGTTTGACATTTTTCAATGTTTCAGGGTACTGTGGCGTACTATTTGCTGCTGGACAACCGCTTTCGTGCTTCCAGTGGCTACATGGGAGCTGAATTCCAGGAGACTATGGTGCGTTTTGCATGTTTTTGTTGAACGAATCTGCAGTTTCTTTGTGATCTGTTTCAGTAAACAAGGAGTGCATTTCCTTACCAATTTGTAATGGACCTCTTCCCTAAAAATACAGCATTTTGAGCATCTAATTATTTAGTTAAGCTGCATTTTTCTAATCCTATCTTTTCTCTGAAACAATTTTGCTTATGGATGTTTTAATATGTCACTACAGGAATACGGTTATCATCAAATAAATTCAAGTGAAGCTGTTGCTTCCCCTGTTGGGCAACACTTGCCTGGAATAATGGATTTTCAACAAGTTGGTGCGAGGCAGTTTCCTGTCGAAAGGAAATGGGCTCTTGGGCTCCAGGTATGTGGACTTTCAAGCAAGTCGCTATACATTTATCTTATTTAGTTATTACCGTAAAAATGTGCGAAAATTGGTTCTTGTTAACCAGTGGAGGGAGGAAAGACAGTGTTTGAGAACTTGTTTCTTCATAGGTTCATGTGGAATGTGTGTCAAAATTCTTACGGGCATCGAGAAGATCTTGATTCATTGGTCAAAATCAGTTACTGTTCCATTTATGACATTTGCCAATTGAATGAGTTCTCAATTGAACTCCTTTAACCCAATCTAGGTCTTTATTCTGATAAACAATATGCTACACCGTTTGTTTTGGCTTTGCATTAGTCTCGAGCGCATCCACGTGAGATAATGACAGAAGTTCTGAAAGCTCTGCAAGGACTGAATGTACGTTGGAAGAAGATCGGACCCTACAACATGAAATGCCAATGGGTTCCTGGCGTACCTGGACATCATGAAGGCATGAGTAATAATTCCATACACAATCCATTCTTTGGAGATGATTCAACCATCATTGAGAACGGTGGTGTCACTATACCTTATGCAGTGAAGTTTGAAGTTCAGGTAACGAATATCCTGCCATTCTGTATCTAGATTTCATATGCCTGTGAAGCGCTACGTATATGGTCGTATGATGCTGCTTTAGCCTTTAAGACTGTGTTAAGAATATTTTGAATATTTTTACATGTAATAATATTTGATTTAAAAGTGAAAAGTCCCTCATACAAGGGTTTAAAAGAATTAGAGAACCTCACAGAAAGTATGATTATCTTGAAGGGCATTGGATAGTCTATGTTGTGGCATACAAATGAATGTTAGAGCTCAATTATGATGTAAACAGCATCAAATAATTTTTGTTTTTATTTTTGATAAGCAAACAACACAGAATAAGTTAGGTGAGAAAGAAATCTTCTCCATGTAAAGATGGTGAAGTATAATGTCCATGATCGGTGGAAGGCTTACTATGGAGGTCCTGAAGCAGATTTTGTGAGTGCTGTTGTGTGTTTAAAGCATATCCCTGAATTTCAGTGAATTAATGGATGTTTGTGGCATTGTTTCAAATTTCTTGCTTGCTTTTAGTTAGTATTCCAGTATGTTTTAGAAGCAAATTTGGATAGATATTACTTAAAGCACAAACCTTACCGAATAATATAGTCTTGGACTTCTATTGAAGGTCTTGTGTTAGTATTTCTCTCTTTTGAACACTATAATCCAGTTAGTCTATGCTGTGGTGCTTGAGTGACAGTACATTGTTTGGATGACCCTTTTTCTCTTTTATACTGCTTTAAATATCAGCTAATGAGCTTGGATATTGTTGAAATTCCTTTAAACTGAGTTCTTTTAAATTTGTGAACGATTGCAGCTTTATAAAACTCGGGAGGAGAAGTACCTGCTTGACCTTCAAAGAGTACAGGGTCCACAGTTCCTTTTCTTGGATCTCTGTGCTGCTTTCCTTGCTCAGCTTCGGGTCCTCTAAAGTCGGGCAATCTTGATCTAACCTGTAAAACTATTGATGCTTGCCTAGAGAGCTAGTCCATGTATATAATTGATATACCAGCTCAGTTACAAAAATTTCTGTTACTAAATTCCACCCTGCTTTGTCAGAGGTGCCTAGCAAATCTTTTTGTCGACTCGCTAGGAGTTCTAGATTTTCCCATCTGTAACGTGCTTACTATAGTGTTCTATTGTTCTTGGTTCCCTGGTGTTCAGTTAACAGACTGAACTAACGGGAAGCATTCAAAAGATGATGAGTCATTTGACACCTTTTGTATTGTTTGGCTTTAATTTATTAGTGTGCTCTTGCGCACCTCTCTCCTAGTTAATTTATTATTCTTTTCGGTTTCACAGGATTTTCTTTTCTTTATGTTCTGACAATCTGTAAGCTTACAGACCTTGATCACTCTGAGATATAACCACTTTATGTTAATATTTAGACAATATGTTGCGTAAGAACATGATTTTTTTGAGATAAACGAGCCTTCAAGATCAAGAACATAGTAATAGTTTTGAACTCATTGGTTCTGGATTCACCTGTGCTTAAGGGTAGCTCGGTGCACTAAGCTCCCACTATGCGGGGTATGGGGAAGAGCCAGACCACAAGGGTCTATCGTACGCAGTCTTACCCTACATTTTTGCAAGAAGCTGTTTATACGGCTCGAACCCGTGACCTCTTGGTTCACCTATGCTTCCATTATATTAATTTGAAAAATGGAGGCAATGTCCCTTTTTCTTTTTATTTACATATAACTCACTGGAAAACCATGACGAATTGACCTAATTCAAATTTGAAGAGATCAAAAGTTGGACAATAAGTCGTATATTATATTCCACAAACCAAACTCATGAATTCTAAGATAACATCTAACATTATGCTTTAGATGCCTTGTTTTGCCGAGACCAAGATCAGTGTCTACTGATCTTTAAAAAGATAAACGAACACAGAGTAATCTTCATCTTGACCCTGTGAAAACAAAAGTTACCTGATTAGACAACAACTAAAAAGAAAAGAAACCAAGAAAATCCCTAGAACAATGTTTTTTTCTAAGTAAAAAAGGCGCAGATTGGTGGTAAATCAATTGAGCTCCAGAGAGACAATTCACTTTCATAACTAGTCTCTGATTGTCCAGTTTCTAATGAACTTTGTGAACTGTATTCAGTTTCCTTTCTTTCACCCATTTCTGTGCTAATTCCTTCTTTATTAATTTTCTTCTCATCCTCTTTACGGTTCCTTTTGCATGCATTTCTGAGTCTGCTTAATTGTTCAGATCTTTCTCTCTGCACAACTCCTCCTGATTTCAGCTTCAACTTTAAGCATTCTGTAATCCCATTGAATGCATAAAGTGATGCTGAGAATTTCCTCTCGTAATTCATCCTCCTCATAGCCTCACTTATACATGACTCGTCTCCGTAAAATATCCCCTGCTGATCCATTGTGTCTGTTGAATTAATCTCGTCAGCAATCTCAAATGGTGAATAATAACACGACGATTCAATTTCATCAACAAAGTGGAAACTAATTGGCTCTACATCTCCTATATCACTACTATCATTTTCCTCTTCAATCTCATCTTCTTCTTCTGCGTCTACTTCCACAATATTATTGTTAATCTCTCCACCAATCGAGTTAATTTCATCGCTTTTCATCACTGGCTGAACTACACTGTAATCGTTTTCAGTCAAGCATGCGTCCAAGGTGTTTGTGAAATTGTTCATGGCAATTGCACACGTATTGGTGCTCATGCTATTATCAATTATTTGATCTTCAGGGTCTTTGAGATACTCCATAAACTGCGAATCAGAAAAATAAGCTGTTTCATCTCTGTATTCTTCTAACTGTTTGTCCTGATCACGAGTTTCCACAGGCTCAGAAGAATCAGAAGAAGAAACAGCAGCGGCAGCTATGGAATTATTTCTAGCTTTGAGTCTATTAAGAAGAAGGTTGGTAATTTTTGAAGGAAGAGCTGGAGTAGAAGAAGAAGATGAAGAACTAGGCCAAAAATTCGTACGAGTATTGGCTCCACGAAGTAAACAAGCAGCTTCATCATATGCTCTTGCTGCTTCTTCAGCTGTGTCAAAAGTCCCTAACCACACCCTTATTTTTTGTATGGTGTCTTTTATTTCAGCAACCCATCTTCCTGATGGCCTTTGTCTAACACCCACAAATCTTTTTCGTGCTCTTCGCGCTCCCCCGAGCGCGGCTGCTGTAGCTGCTTCCTTTACCATCTCTTCCCAGGCCGCATTCCCAGCTTGATCATCATTGTGCATTTTATTTTCACTAAGTCCCTCACTGGCCCGTCTTTTCCTTGCCATTTTTGCGAATGTTAAGTGTTGGGATAAGTAAAATTAGATAGATCACAAGAGTGAGGAATTGTGAATTAAAGTCATGGATTTGTGATAGTTTTTATTGCAGAACTAGGTTGGTGAAATGGTATGTATTTATATGAAGAGAGAAGAGAAGATCCTGTCAAATGATAAATAGAGCTAGGAAGTTTCTTTGCACTTGTTAAGATGGATTTTTGTTCTTTATTTAATTATTTATGCTTCTTGTGATAACATATGGAGGGTTTCTGTTTGATATACAGAAATCTAGAATAAAAAGGATTAAATTTGGAGAGAGAGATGTAAATAATAAGATTTAATAGGTAGTTTGACCCAGCCAAAGAGTACAGTTTCTTGATTCTTCTTTGTTTATGTTTGAAGAGATGTAACTTATTTTGTAGGATAAAGTATGCGGCATGAGTTGGTCACTTCAATAAATGTCACTTGTCTTCTTATTATATAAACTACAACATGAAGATAATTAATTCGGATTATATGTCACTTATCAATACATTTATTAATAATAATTTTTGTTTCTGATCTTCAAGGCGATTGACATTGAAATTATCAGTTGTGAAAGAGACTTGGTGCATCGTTGTTCCGTGCATGAAACACACAGGAAACCATGGTGCAGAATGATCCTTAATTGAAAAGAAACGCAGTATGAGCCCGTTTAGATTAGCTGATTTGAAATAGCTGATAAGCATTAGGTACTGAAAAGCAGTGCTGAAACTAATTTAATAAATAAGCAGTTATGTGTTTGGGTACAAGTGCTAAAATTGATAATAAGTTGCTGCAGTATTTGATAAAGAAGTGCTTATAAGCTCTTTTTCTGTTAAAATTACTTAAATAACCTTAGAACTGTTTACACTTATAAGGACGTAAGTTCTTCAAAATTTTAGATTCCAAATCGATTTAAATACAAAATATTCTATTTGTCATTTTATTTTAAATACAACTATGCTTAGATAAGATCATTTTTATGATAAATATAATTTATTTTATGAGAAATATATAATCATAAGTTTTAATAATTAATAAATTGACAAAAGTTTCTCATTAAAAAATAAACCTAAATAGGACAAAATATTTGAAGATAAACAAACACTGTCTTCATCACCACAATACTTAGAAAGCAATACACCAAATATTTGATGTCCTCATTTATTACATACAGTTTAAAAATTAATACACAATCACATAGATACAAATATGCAAAGGAATAGAGAATATGCTTAATAGTCAATGAGAACTGCAGACTTGAAGAGGTGCGGGGGGGAGGGGGGGGGGGGTTAGGTATATCGATGTAGGAGTTTTGTTCTAAAAAAGAATATTTTAAGGATAAAACAGTAAAAATCTTGGTCAAACTTAAAGTGCTTATAAGCTAAAAAATTGATAAGCTGGGGGTGACTAGCTTATGACTTTTGGCTTATTTTTTTACTTATAAGCACTTGGCATATAAACATTTTTAACTTTACCAAACGCGTAGATAAGCCAAAACACCCTCTATATCTTCTCAACCAATAGTCATTTGGTCATTTACTCTTCGGCACGCTCTCATGTTATTATTTGCTCTATAATGAGTTTAAGTAATATACATTGTCAGTGTACAAATCAGATCATCTTTACCTATTATAGCAGATAATCTAAGATTATAAATCTTTATTTTAAGAAGGCTTACCCGTAAATATTTTTTTGATGACTTAATGGTATAAAAATAATTGTACACTGATGATATTGTATAATACTTTGTCATTCTATTTTAACCGTGGAATATTTTTGTGTGTTATGTTACGTTTTCAAGAGAAGATAACATATGTGACACTTGCACGGCCAAATTATTGTACAACACTCTAAGAATTAATCCATAAATTTTATCTTATAAAAGTAGTAGTTGTGTTTGTGCTAAAATTATAAAAGTAGTTGTACATGTGTCGCTTGTCTATGTTTCTTATGATACCATGCAGTTCCTTGATCATATGTTAAAGATAATATTGAGATATTTGAAACCGAACAACCAAAATCCTTGATGTTTTACCTACTAATAGCGGCGGAAATAAAGCTTGTTAAATTTAATCGCACAAAGCTAATTCCAATGATACATTGCAGTTCTTTGATCATGTGTTAAAATTTTTGGGCAAATTAAAAGTGCTCATAAGTTGAATAATCATAAGTAGGCTAAGGTACAATTTTTGTTTTTTGGTGATTTGGCTTATAAGCACATGACTTGTTTGCATTTTGATTGCATAAAAAAATTAAAAGGAATTTATACCGCACAAGTTAAAAATAATTTTTTTTTGTTGGATCGATGTACCCGAGGGACCACAAGTTGAAAGGTTAATAACTAAACTTTGTATGACTAGCCGAACAAAATTCTGTAAAGTATTACTTATGCCTTTTGCTTTTGATTCATATATATGATTAACCAAACAGTAAAAAAAACATATGTTTTACAGAAAAAATAAATACAAGAAGAAACATAACAAAGAGCAATTTGTCACTTCCAAATGTAAGGGCAAAGGAAATTGATCTCCCCAAAGCGGCCAATGGACTCCCTCCCCATCATTAGCCTCATTGTTGAATTCACTGCTGGAGTTTAAGTTTTATACAATGATAATATAAAAATATTTATACAACCAAATCAGTTAAAAGGTAGTGTATGTAACTTTATTTGAACAATATTCGACCAAAAAAAAAACAAATGGTAATTAAGTAGTTTATACTCCAATAATTTGTTAGAAAAAAACCATTACAAATTGCTCACTACCTTTTTTTCTAACTCAAACATACAAATTGCTTAACACGGTGCCAAATCGGTGGATTTCTTGAAAGCCTTTTCAAAGATCAGGGACAGGGAGAGGGGGGAAGGAAAATAAGAAACAGAAAATGAAGAAAATGGTTCCTTTTTTTCTTTAGGCGTCGAACGCCTATAGACGAAAAACAACAATGGGCAAAACAAAAAACAGCTTTAAAAGGCGACAAAGATGTCCCTTGCGTCCGTTGTGGTGGTTTTATTTATTTCATTCATTGCGAAATAGCCGTAAAACTCCCACTAGTAGTTGAATGCCAAGTGGAATACATAGGTATAGTGGAATAATTAAGATACCTTCATTTTTAATCATTTTAACTAGATATTTTGAGTTCGAACTATTGACATACAAAATCTGATAAAAATTGCATGGGGCAACCAAATTCGAATTATTGGCATAGAAAATCTGATAAAAATTGTATGGAGCGCCCTATTTGGTCGCGCCCCTTTTAAATTATACATGTTTTATTTTTCCGTTTGCATTTGTACCCGATTTTTTGTTAAAAGCGTTTTGAAAAGACGATTTTGCCCTTTTTAATAAAAGACTACTTTCAGCAAAATATACTGAAGTTTCGGATAAAACTCATGACAAAACTGTAGACTGCAGGACAAAACTTCAGCATGCATTAGCAAAAAACTTAAGCATTTAGTCTGAAATTTTAGCAAATGAACTAAAAAACTTCAGCCTGTTTAGACTGAAGTTTCGGATAAAACTCATGACAAAACTGTAGACTGCAGGACAAAAGTTCAGCAAGTTTTGGTATGAAGTTTTAGCAAATGAACTAACTAACTTCAGCATGCATTAGCAAAAACTTAAGCATGTTTAGTCTGAAATTTTAGCAAATGAACTAAAATACTTCAGCTTGTTTGGACTGAAGTTTTAGATAAAACTCATGACAAAACTGTAGACTGCAGGACAAAATTCAGCATGTTTTGGTATGAAGTTTTAGCAAATGATTTAAATTACTTCAGCATGCATTAGCAAAAACTCATTAGAAAATTACATACTGCAGGACAAAAACTTAAGCATGTTTAGTCTGAAGTTTTAGCAAATGAACTAAAAAACTTCAGCATATTTAGACTGAAGTTTCGGATAAAAGTCATGACAAAACTGTAGACTTCAGCATCTGTTGGTATGAAATTTTAGCAAATGAACTAAATAACATGTATTAGCATAAAGTTTTAGCTTCAATGTGAAACAACTCCGTACTATATTAGCATGAAGTTTTAGCTTCAACGTGAAACAACTGCATGCTACATTAGCTTGAAGTTTTAGCTTGTATTTGATTAAAACTTCAGACTTCAACATGAAAACTTCATGCTATATTCGTCAAAAAACTTCATGCAAGTGTGATTCTAAAGATGAATCTGGTTCAAGTTTTTGGTTTTTTGATAAAAGCTACTTGTTTGACCAAAAAGTATTAAGCCTTTTTGTTAAATTAAATAAATAAATAATAATGGGTAAATTCTAGTTAACTATAATAAATCCTAGATCCAAGATTGATGGGTATCAATACTCCCTCCGGTCCAAAATAAGTGATTTTTTGGTTGTTTTGACACATATTAAGAAATTCACCTTTTAACATTAATTAGCAATGAAACTGACCATATTAACCTTTACTGTCTCTTCACATAAACACTCCTAACACATACTCCAATATTATTTACTTCAAGGGCAATGTAGGAAAAAATAATTAATTCATTCTTGAAATCTGAAAAAATCACTTATTTTGGACCACAAAAAAGCCAAAAATCACTTATTGTGGACCGAAGGGAGTAATATAAAAACCGCATTCAAGGCTATTAAATACCAAATGGGTGTTTAATGATTTTGTTATGAATGAATGAGGGAATAATGACAAGCAATAAATATGATAAATGGCAATAAATGTAAATAGAGAGAATGATTCACCCGAATATTCAATAAGGTGGATGATTCTCTCTCTGACAATGATGTAAGGCAACCAAACGTGGAAATATAGAAGACTTTCTCGGATCTGATGTGAGAAAGCTTGGGACAAACAACCAATCGAATCTTTTGTAAAGATAATGTTTGTAGTTACTTGAGTCAACTTTTCGAGAGAGAGCTTATCATATAGAATATCACACACCTCTCTCTTCTTTCTCTATTCCCACTTATATGGGACATTTTCCCCCACCTAACTGAAAGTATGAGTGCAGAGAATATTCTTTGGAATATTCCTTTAAAATATCTTATCACTAAACTAGCCGTTTGGGCCGACGTAAGTGCTCGACCTCGGCCTTAACTGCTCAGCTCGCCAATATGTTATTCCTTAAGCGTGACCTCAGCCTAGTCAGTTATTGGCTATCTCTTAAACAAGATTACTCTTATCGGATTTTG